CCAACAGTCTTCTTTGTGAAGGTGTGCAAGCAAAGAGAAGTCAAAGAAACAGCAGCATAATTCCAGAAACCTAATTCTGTGTTAGGAGTCATTAATGACCCTACAGAGCAGTATCGTGATTCCCAAGGATATTCTAGCTAAGTTTAAAAAAAAGCCAAGAAGTGAAAAGAAAACCTCAGAATTATTTAATTTCATAAAAGAAAGCTCCCATGATGGACAGTTAAAAACTATATAGCCTGAGTTTAAAGAAAGATGAACAGAATAATTATATTAGGGAAACACGATATAAAAGTTACTTTAATTTGTATCGATTTCCACTGCACTGGGGGAAAGTAGCGGTACTTGGGTTTGAACTCAAGGTGTGGTGCTTGTTTTCAAGAAGGTATTCTACCACTTGATGCATGCCCCATTTATGATTTCAGGTTGAGTCTTGTGTGTATTCCCCTGGATCATGATCCTCCTCTTTATACTTCTCCTGTATCTGGAATTCTAGGCATGAACTACTATACCCAGCTTTTATTAGCTGAGACAGGGTCTTGAGAACAACGGCTTAGACAGAGATTCCTTTCATCTCTGACTCCTGAGTAGGGCATATGTCACTATTGGGTACAGTATTAATGGCATTAAGAGATATGTGTTGGAGAATGAACATGATGGATATTTGAAATGGACAATGATGTACAGAACTAAACACAAACTAAACAGGAGGAAAAGGTTTGCTTCCTCCAAATAGCACCTGCTCATGTTACTGTTTTCACACACAAACTCTGTTCTCATTCATAAGCTGCCTCAAAAGAGGCAGCCATCAGTAAGACCCAACTTACACAGTGAAACCATGAGTCCAGCAAGTCTATCCCTTAGAAGAGAAACAGAAAGTGTGACTGATACCCAATTCTGGCAGAGGATGAAAGATTCTCTCTTGAGACAGCCAAACATTCTTGCTTGGCTTTTCCAAGGGAGACCAGTACATTTACTACCCCAGCCACACCTCTGCTTTTGACTCTTTGCAAATCAATTGCACATAAGAGTTTCACAGTGGCTGGTTTCAAACCTCAATCTTTAGATCTCAGCCTCCCAAGTGTCCCACCGAAAGAGATATTTCATGTGTGTGTGTGAGTGTGTGTGTGTGTGTGTGTGTGTGTGTGTGTGTGCTGGTACTGTGGCTTGAGCTCAGGGCCTGGGTACTATCTTTGAGGTGTTTTGTTCAAGGCGAAAGCTCTGCCACTCGAGCTACAACTCTACTTCTGATTTTTTGCTGGTTAATTGAAGAGACTTTCCTGTCAGAACTGGCTTTGAACTGTGATCCTCAGGTTTTAACATCCTGAGTAGCTAGTATTACAGGCATGAGCCACCAGTGCCCAACTGCAATAACCTTTTTTTTTTTTTTTTGGCCATGAGGCTTGAAATTTGGGCCTGGGTGCTGTCCTCAAGCTCTTCAGCTCAAGGCGAGAGCTCTACCACTTGAGCCATAGAACCACTTCTGGTTTTCTGGTGGTGTATTGGAGATAAGAGTCTCACGGACTTTCCTGCCCATCGGCACCTGGCTAAACAGCCCTTCTTAATGGCTATTTAGTAGCAGAAAAGAAAGTCAAATCAACATGGAGACAGATAAGCTTAAAGAAAAAAGCATAATGTTGAATTTAAGTTACATTACATGCAACCTGAATGTGTTTGATTATAACCACATAAAAAGCCCCAAGGGCTGGTGGCTCATGCCTACTCAAGGAGGCTAGATCTGGGGAATTGTGTTTCAATGACAGCCCCGGCAGAAAAGACTGAACGACTCCATTCTCTAAAATAAGTACCAAAAAGTTGGGCTGGAAGTGTAACTTAAATAGTAGAGCTCCAGGGGGCTGGAAATGTGGCTTTCTGGTAGAGTACTTGCTTAACATGTATGAGGCTCTAGATCTGATTATTGAATAAATAAACAAACAAACAAAAAGCAACAAAAAAGTAAAGCTCCAGGGCTGGGAAGGTGGCTCAGTGGTAGAATGCTTGCCTTGCATGCATGAGGCCTTGGGTTCGATTCCTCAGCGCCACATAAGCAGAAAAAGCCCGAAGTGGTACTGTGGCTCAAGTGGTAGAGCGCTAGCCTTGAGCTGAAGAGCTGAGGGACAGTGCCCAGGCCTAGAGTTCAGGCTCCACAATTGAAAACAAACAAACAAACAAACAAAAAAAGAGCTCCAGCCAAACAAAGAAGCTGAATGTGCAAGAGGCCCTGAATTCAAGCCTCTGATAACACAAACTAATTAATTAATTAAAGGCACATGAAAGGATCCTTCAGGATCCTCCCCGGGGACCAAGAGGAGGCAGGCAGCACAGAAGAAACATTATTATAAGGTTTATCACCGGGGGCCATATCTCCCAGGAAGGAGTATATGGAGTCTGCCCCCATCCATGTTGCTGGTCGGTCTGGGGGAAGTAAGGTAAGTGCTTGCACAGGTGGGTCTGGGTGGAGAGAGGGAGTGGCCAGCTGTAGGGAGGGAATTCCAGGGCAGGAAGGAGCTCAGGTCTGGGTGGAGCTGAGGACCAAAGGTACAGATAATACTAACAGTATAGCCAGTGACAGGAGAGGTCTAGAGAAAAATATTAAGGTATCTGGAATACAACAGCCCTGAAAGGTGACAATCATCATCTCCATAGATGACAGTGAATAAGTTTCCAATGTAGAGGTTTTCTCCAAAAGATAGGATTATAGGAATTCTCAAATTGTTCCTCTTCTATAGAATTTTCCATTGAAAATGAGAGAGAAAAACAATCTCACTGATCAACGTTAAATATCTTGAACTCAGTTGACACAAAAGCTCACACCTGGTGACAGATAACTATTAGAGATGGAAAGAGATACCTTGTTAAAACACCTGACCACCACAGAACCGGCAGTTACCTCCCCACCTCCCCACCTCCCCACCGCCCTTTCCTTTGCCTTCATGGAGCTCATAACACCATCACCTCCATAGTTTTGCTTGTTTCCTCACTAATCCAAACGCACGAGAGCAGCAGCACAAAGAGAGAGGACTTTCTTTGGCTCCCTTTCATGGTCTACAGAAGGTACTCCATATAACTTGTGAAATGAACAAATAAAAGCTAAGTTGTATTACCAACTCGCTCTACTCCAAGATAAGCTTGACATGGCAGCTTCTAAAGAGTCCTTTAAGGGCCAAAGTCCAAAGGTGATAAATAAAATGTTGAAAGGAGGGAGAAGAGGGGCCAGTCATTCAATAGCATGATCAGCATCGAGCAGGAAAATTCAATCCACTTGTTGGCTCAATGTCAGAGGAAAGGAATGTTGTAATAGGTGCTTTTGGTCACAATCAGCTTTAAATCACTTGAAACTCTATTACCATAAAAAAATAGGATGGAAAGTCTATTTCATAATAATGTCCAAAGCCCCCATAAGAAATTTTGAGCTTCAAGTTCCATATAAACAAGAACTGGGATGGCCAATTCTGCCACTGAAGAGCGCCTTGATGTACAGATTGGAGACATCTTTATGATGCAAATTCACAACCTTGGCAACACAGAAAACAAAGAGATTGCATGGAACCAAGGGGTTTAATGTGTGCCTTTGTTTGAGTTGAGCACCTGGGGTCCTATGTGTGCTGATGATTCTATCCAGCTGGTTGTCAAAAGCAAAATTACTTTTCAGTGAGATGCTGCTTCTGCCACTACATTGGAACAAAATGTGTGTGCACACACATGTAAGAACTCATTTAGTATTATTTACAATTGAAGAACAATCATTTGCCAATCTGGTCAGTCACATTCTATTAGTAACTTCATGCATCAAGGTTGAGTTGTTACAAACTATAGTTAGTTAACAGAACTCTCGCGTCCTTTCTCCAAGATCATGCCTTCCAGTGTAGAAGGAAGAACACAAACAAAATTCTGGGCAGCTATGGACTTTCATGCCAAATGGCAAAATTGAAAACAATGGCACTTTATGACTAGCACAGATAATGCTTATCAAATAAACAACTAATGAAAAAACATCTTTTCTTCTTTTCCCCATAGACCTACAGTTACTATAGATAAGTTGGTAGACATTCTTGGGGAAGGGACAGGGGTCAGGACAGGGGCCATTATACCTGGTGATGAGTCTATAGCTTTGATGTTGAGAGGGGCTCTGCCACCTACTTATTCCCATCCTCTAACATACCTCAATGTCTTTTCTGAGTTACTGGAATGAAATCAACATTTCTTTTTTTTTTTTTTTTTTTTGGGTCTGGTCGTGGGGCCTGAACTCTGGGCCTGGGCACTGTCCCTCAGCTCTTCAGCTCAAGGCTAGCGCTCTACCACTTGAGCCACAGCGCCACTTCCGGCTTTTTTCTTTTTGCTTATGTGGTGCTGAGGAATCGAACCCAGGGCCTCGAGCATGCAAGGCAAGCGCTCTACCACTGAGCCATCTTCCCAGCCCCCTGAAATCAACATTTCTAAGAATCGACTTTCCAGGGTCCATCCCTTTGTGTAGCAATCCTTCCCTGCTTCTCTATGCTCAACTACACTGGACTTGTGGACTATGACCTTCTTCCTTCCTCCCTGATTGCTTGCATTCGATGTTTTCTCAGCCAAAATATTCTCCCCTTATTCCCCACTTAATCCTCAACTCGAGAATTTTTTCTAAGGGCAATGCAATCTATCATGAATTCTCATTACAGCACTTGCTCTTCTTCGTGACATGTTTGGGTGCAAACCAGTGCATCTCCCTTTAGCACTTCTGATGTTACCTGGTTTTGATTACTGAAAATCATATTAAGGATCACAATGTGACTCAATGAGACTTATTTATTCCTTCTAGAATCTCACACCTTGGATACCAACTCACTGTCTTATTTGTTCTACAATTAAAAATTACTTAGAGCATTTCTGAGACTGCTATAAATTAATTTTTTTCTTTTTATTGCAAAAGAGGACTAAATTGGCCTTGCACTGCTCAAGCAGGAAATAGGACATGCAAAAGAAATAGACATCTGGAAGGGATGGAACACTGTGGCACCTACCAACACATTGTCCATTCCAGCCTCGGAAGCCTTCCGTGCAGGGGACACACTGGTAAGACCCCGGGGAATTCACACACTGCTCATCTGGACAAGTACTTGGTGTCAAGCATTCATCAATATCTGAAAGACCAAAAAGCTAGGTCACGGACATTTTTCCAGAGAACCAAAGTGAAGTACTACTTGGAGAAAGTACATGATACCTACATTTCACTTGAGAAAACAAGAATTGGGTGAAAAGTTGGGGCTAGACTTTAATTCATGGCGTTGATGTGGTTATTACAGGTATACTGGCTGCTTGTCCCTGGATTAAAGTTTTTATGCACATTCTAAGGAAGAACTTTGCCCCAGTTCTTCAACCAGCAGTGACAGCTCTCTCCACTCTGTGTGTGTGTGTGTGTGTGTGTGTGTGTGTGTGTGTGTGTGTGTGTGTGTGTGTGTGTGTGTGTGTGTCTATGGGTCTATGTCAGCCCTGGGGCTTTAACTCAGGGCTTGAGCATTGATCTGTGTTTGCTCAAGGCTAGTGCTTAACCACTGGAGCCACAGCTCCTCTTCTGGCTTTTTTGGTAGTTAAGTGGAGAAAAGAGTCTATTAAGACTTTCCCAACCAGGTTGCTTCAACCTGTGATCCTCAGATCTCAGCCTCCTGAGTGGCTAGGTTTACACGCATGAGCCACCAGTGCCCAGTGGAGATCAAATCTTTTTAGGTAAAGGCATAGTTTGCCAGCAAGAAACACAAAGCCTGGTTGGTGATGGATGTCAGCTATCTTCTTGGTGACGGGTTTTCTAGCAGACTGTGAATAATCTTAGGAAGCCTGGCTGCTTTTAAGAACATCCCAGGGGGAAAGACACCTGAAGTATGTTGGGGCTGTGGCAGAGGTAATAATGGCAGCAACTTTAGGAGTGTGTATGTGTGTGTGTGTGTGTGTGTGTGTGTGTATGGTAGTCAGAGGCTTGATCTCAGGTCCTAAGTGCTGTCCCTGAGCTGTTTTGTTCAAGGTTATCACTCTACCACTTGAGCCACAGCTCGACTTCCAGCTTTTGTAAATAAGAGTTTTCCAGATTTTCCTGCCCAAGCTGGCTTCAAACCATGATCCTCAGACCTCAGCCTCCTGAGTAGCTAGGATTACAGGTGTGAACCAGCAGTGACTGTCAACTTTAGGTTTTTTTTCCCCCTATACAATTTTTACTTATTGTAAAGGTGATGTACAGAGGGGTTACAGTTACATAAGTCAAGTAATGAGTACATTTCATTTTGAACAATGTCACCTCTTCCCTTGTTTTCTCCCAGTTTTTCCCTCCTAGTCCCCCTCCCCTACAAGTTGTATAGTTCATTTTCAACATAGTGTCTAGTGAGTATCACTGCTACATTAATTCATCCTTTGTCCCACCATGTCTGTGCTACCTTTACCCTCTCCCAAACCAATAAACTTACATACAAGACAAAGAATTTATATCTATATTTACTGTGGTAAGACATATTAAAAAATTCTATTTGACCATAGTACCATCTATTTTCAGAATGATTTTTATCTCCCTAAGTTGAAATTCCATTCAATAAACAATAGCTGACTTGAAGTCTTTTTTAAAGGATGATTAAAAGCAACAAAATGGGAAAAAGCATTCTCTAGGAGAAAGTTCAGTTTGAACTGTATGGTAACAATTGGCCAGGCAATTGGAAGAGTGGTTTTGTAGATATCAGGTATAAGTTTTCCCACATAGAACACAAAGCACAGAGATCATCTGAAATACCACACATAAATGGAAAAGTGAAGTAGAAAAAAAATATCATTGTTTCACTAAATAACCACAGATATCCTATGTTTTCATTTGGATCAACTGTTAACCCTTATCTCCTATTACATTTTCATTAGACATTTGGGAAAAGATGTTTAAGATGAAAAAAGTTGAAGATAACAGCAATGAAATAAGTTTCAGGTCAGTATTTTCATTTTTCTTTTCTATCAGTTGAAAAATTCCTGCCAATAAACAATGACATACTGTCAGATGTTCTGGAACTTCTTGTCCTCCCCCCCCCCACAAAAAAGAAAAAGATGTCTACCGATTTCATTTTTCCAAAGAGCATGCCAGCATCCTCTGGATAGAAATGTGACTGTTAAATGAGAGAATGTCACCAAGCCAAGTTGGGACAACACATAAGCCAGGAGGATGAGCAAGGTAAGATACCAGCCCTGGGTTTCCTGCGACTTATGCCTGTCCCCTGTAAGTTAGGGACTGCCTTGCGACACCTCAGTCCAGCAGGGGGGATGTATGAGATAATGTCTGTAAGTTACAATGGGTTCCTTGGAGACCTGCAATGTTTGAATGCAGCTTTCGTTAGTGACAGCTGAGAAAATCTTTGGTGAGCCAGAAGCCCAGGGCCCTTTGGTTCTGGTCCACAAGGAAATTAGAAAACAGTCGTATTGTTTGGCTCTTCCTCTCTTCAAGATTTTTTATGAGAATAGAATGATGGATTACTTATTCTGAAAACTAAGGATAATTTCTATAAGTGTGTATTATTGGATAGGCTACCAGTTTTCACAATAGAATTTTACAATTTCTTGTCTAGAGGTTTCTATCTTTAATAATATATACTATCATTTAGGATCTGATTTCTTTGTATCGACATGCTCAAATTCAGCACCCTTTTATGTTTCTGGCACTCTCCTCCATAGGTCTAAAGGACTAAAAAGCTTTATACACAAACCAAAAAAAGTGAGAAGGGAAAAGTATAAAAACAAACAAAACAAACTAGAACTTAGCAGGGCACTGGTGGGCTTACATCTATAATCCTTGTAATCCTAGCTACTCAGAAAGGTGAGATCTGAGGATCACACTTCAAAGCCAGCCCAGGCAGGAAAGTCCATGAGACTCATTTCTAACCACCAAAAACCGGAAGTGGAGCATGGATCAAACGATAGAGTGCCAGCCTTCAGCAGAAAAGCTAAGGGAAGATACCCAGGTCTTGAGTTCAAGCCCCAGGAGCAGTGCATGCACACATAAACACACAAAACCCTAAACTTGGGCCAGGCATGGTGGTACCTGCCTGTAATCCAAGCTGTAGGTGGCAAGTTTGAGGCCATCTTGGGCTACATAATGAGATTCTGTCTTAAAAAACAAAACAAAACCCAACAATGGCAGCAATAACTAAAATTTGAGAACAAAGTGATGGGTGCCACAGCAGATAGTGCCATTCACATTTATGTTCATGACAGTCCTACAAGGTAATGACATGGCTGCCATGTTCCAGGTGATGGGGGTTCACAAGGACTCAGAAGTATACCTGGATCAGGTATAAGGGCTGTCAGGTGATTCCAGTCCTTATTGGCCCAAGCCACCCTACAGCACAGGGAGAATCCAGCGGAAGAGGACAGTGGGTACATGCTGGACCTTGTCCCATGGTCCCTTAGTCCTCAGGAGAGCATGAACACTCTCTTCTGATCTGACTTGATCAGACATCCAGTAGCCTGAAACCGTCCCACTTGTCTCTAGCTTAGAACCCAAGGGGCTGAGGCAGGAGAGGAAGGGATGGACTACCAAAAAAAAAAAATCTAATTAGCTTTTACTCCAAGCCTGGGTCATCAGAACTGTGAAGAAAAAGAAGCCAAGCGACAGCTGAGATGAGGCAGGCCCACTGAGTCTGGCCTTTCTTAGTTTGAGACACCAGGCTACAGAAGACAAGAGATAGGTCTGCAGGCAGCCAGACAGGGAACCCTGGACCCCCTCCACATTCTCCTCACAACTCCAAACTACTCCCAGTGCTCCCTGTGCCCTTGGCTGAAGCTGATATACAAATTCAGGAACACATACACACAAAAAGTACCATGATGCTTTCACAAAGAACTTGGACAAGCAACTACAGGAACAGGAACATTAATTAGGAAATAATCCTGGCCATGAGCACGATCGCCTGGTTTGGGTGAGTAATGAAAGCATTTTATCCAGTACTAAGAATTCGTCAGGCATTCTTTCTAAATGGAGTCTACACAATAAAACAACAAAAAAAGTCTCAGAACACATGTCAAAGGAGGCAGTTGAGACAAAGAAATGCACCAAAGTGGAAAGGTTAAAAAAAATATAAAATGAGCAGTGGTCACACCTGCTCTGTGTTTGAGAAGCACCAAACCAACCAGGTACCCTAATGAAGTCTGGGTTATACTAGATGCTAAACAATTAACTGCTCTATGGTGATCTCCACTAAAAATACCAGCAGAGACAGATAGTGAAGTGACAAGAAGACCATGATGGAACAAAATCTAGACAGAGCTCCAGAAAAGTAGGCCAAGTCTGTGAATCTAGACAGCTGGAGGAGTGAGGATGCGCCCACAGGCTTTCACCATCCTTGCATTCCACCATCCCGTGTGCTCACCATGGGGGACACCACCATCTCCCAGTCCTCTAGCACACTTACCCTCACAACGACCCCTCCTGGTCATCCGGTAGCCGCTGTCGCAGTATTCACACCGGAAGGCCCCCATGGTGTTCACACAGTGGCCGTCCCCACACACATCGGCCCTTAGACACTCATCCACATCTGCGTGAAGAAGAAAACAGTGTCCAGGTTTACTCCCCCAAGGAATCATCTCACATCTCTCTTTGCTTCATTCAAATGCAATAAAGAAGTAAACGGGAGACAGGAGCCAGAGGCTCCCACCTGTCATCCTGGCTACTAAGATCTGAGGATTGTGGTTCGAAACCAGCCTGGACTCTTCTCTCTAATTAACTTCCAAAAGCCCAGCAGTGGAGCTAGGACTTAAGTGGGAAAGTACCAGCTCTGAACAAAACAGCTAAGGGACAGTGTTCAGGCCCTGAGCTCAAGGCCAGTATGGCACAAAAAATAATATAAAATGTGATTGATTTTGCCATCATCCCTTTGATATGTTTGGTATATGCCAAAATTAATATAGTTTTGATTCATGAGGTGGGGAAGAATCATATTTCACTCTTGTCTTCAATCCTCCTTCAGAAATGTTGGAAAGCTGGATTCAGTGGCTTATGACTGTAATCTAAGCAATTTAGAAGGTAGGACTGGATTGGGAGAATCACAGTTGAAGATCAGCTTAGAAAAAACCTTTCCTGAGATCCTATCTCAGCCGATTAAAAAGCTGGACACAGGGATACATGCCTGTTATCCCAGCTATGTGGAAAGTAGAAATAAGAAGACCTCCATCTGGGCAGACCTAGGCATAAACTTGAGACCCCATCTCAAAAATAACCAAAGCAAAAAGGAATGCGGGGCGTGATTCCAGGGGCAGAGCACCTGCCCAGCAAACCGAATACCATCAAAAAGAAAGTATTGGCTAGAAAAATATCCGTTTTCTATTTCCCAGTGCCTAATCAACTGCTATGTCAGAATAGGTGTTTAAACATGGCTGGGTTCTCTGAGTAGGCCATGAGCTTGATGGGGTCCTCAGGATGGAAACACCAGATCTGAGCATGCATATATCAGGAAGAATACTGCCTTTACCTATGCAGTTAGTACCCGCCTCACTGGCCATAAATCCTGCTGGGCAAATACACAAGAAACTTCCTTCGGTGTTTTCACAGCGTCCCTGGGAGCAGAGGTGTTGCACCTGAGCACATTCATCAATATCTGTGAACAAAAGTGTGTGGGAAAAGATTAGTAGTATGCAACAAAAACTCAGGCTCCCTTTTATAAAGACAAACCTTTCTAACTGAGGAGAATAGGAAAAGGAGACAAGACCTACCTATCACCCCCACCAAGCTGAAGGACTATTAGTAGAAAGAGGAAAGAGGCTTATTGTGTAGAGCTGTAAAAGCTAAAGCTAAAATAACCCAGGATGATGGGGCTTCACCAAGAGCTGATATTTCAAAGAGCTGAGTTTCTCAGTGGGCTCATCCAAGCACTTGGTGATTCATTGATTGAAGGACCTCAGGGACTCTTCCACTATGCACACACAGTGGGCAGGGGAGGGGCTGGATCAGGTCATCTCTGTGGCCTTTTCTACTTAATACCTTAGCAGCTAAAGGTGAGTATATGCAAATGAAGCAGAAATAGCAGTGTGGATGCTGCTTCAGCCACCCATTCCCATAAATACACACAATTAATTGTCACACACATATTAATTGCTACTATTTTACCAATGTCTTAAATCTTAGTACTGAATTTTCACAGAAAGATTAAATAATTAAAATTATTTACTTAATTCCGTTACTCTCTGAGATACTTTCCCTCCTTCCAAAAAAAATAAAGTCTAAGATCCCTTATTTATAAATGCATTCATAGTTCCATGCTAGCATATAGAGATCTTCCATCTAGAAATCTCTTAGAAATCTTATTTTATATACCTAGATGAATTCTTTGTTACAGCACCTATAGGTAATAATTTTGTTTTGTACAGTACATATTGATACCTATTGTTGCAGCTTGTAATTCATTTACTATATCTAAAAACTTTTGGTAAATGATTCTGCCTTTATGTGAGTGATTTGCATAAAGCAAATAGATAGAGTATTTGCACATTGAAGTATGAGAATCCCAGATATTTGGAAAACATTTCTTGAGTTACCTTAGCTCCAAATAGTAAAAAAAAAAAACTTTTAAAAGTAAACAATCATATATTCCCTGAAAATACTTAAACTAGTTTAAGAAAAAAATGATCTAAGCATACAAACATTTTGTATTTAATAGTATGGATATCAAAATTGTATCTTACCACTAGTGGCTCACAGCTGTAATTCTAGCTACTAGGAGGCTGAGATCTGAAGGATCTTTGTTCAAAGCCAGCCAAGGTAGACAAGTCTATGAGACTTGATCTCCAACTCACCAGAAAAAAAAATCCAGGTTGGCAGTGTGGCTCAAGTGGTAGAGCATTAGCTGAACAAGCAAACGGGGTGTGCACAAAGCCTGGAGTTCAAACCTCACTATAAGCATGAAAGAACAATGTATCTTACCAACGCATTTCCTCTGCTGCTCACTGAACTTGTAGCCCTCATAGCAAATGCAGGTATACCTCACAGGCAGGTTAATGCAGTGGCCTGCTCCACAGATGTCAGGGTTCACAGTGCACTCATTGATTTCTTTAAAAGGAAGCAAAAGTAATCTGAGAAACCCAGAGGTGAACATAAAGATTTTCTTGCTATTAAAGACAGTTACTTTGTGTTTCCTAGCTAGCCAAGTAAATTACCGCTAGGTATGCATTTAAAAAGACAAATATGACTATGAAATTGACTACAATGTCTGATGATTGCTTTATGATTGATTAGACAGTCCCTAAGGTCATCAATGGTCCCTAATGGGATAGTTTCTGAGATGAATTGTAGTAGAAACACATAAGGAGGCTACGCTGAAAATGGTATCAACTGGGTTTTGTTTGGTGGTTTTATATTTTTGGGGTGGTACTGTGATTTGAACTTGATCAAAACCTTGCAAACACCAGTAAATATCCCCCCCACCTCCCACCTCCAAAAGAATAATGATAAAGAAACAGTATATTTTATCTGTAAGAGCTGAGGATACTGACTCTTTGTGATCATTCAGAAACCAGGACTGAGAGAGATGAAAGAACCCGAGGGTGAATAGATTGGGGCCTCCAAGCAAGACAGACAGGGAACACAGCTTTATTAGAAGGAGAAAACAGGTAAGCAACTGCCACTGACAACCCGCCACGAACCCCGCAGAGGGGGATGTGAAAGACTGCTTTAACAGAGATCCCCCAAGAAGATTGTTAGGTCCGCGAGGACAAATGTACTTTTCCCTTTGCTCTCTCTCCCTGTGTGCTTGCGTGAGGCTCTTCTCTAGAAGTTTCTGCCCAGCACCTCTATCCCAAGCAACTGGCATGCCTGGGGGCAGTGGACGATTTTCCAGGCTCTGAGGTCACTTCTGCAACCTCTAGGTTCATTTCTACATCTGCTGAAGCCACACCCCCTCCCAGGCCACACCCCCTCCCTGGCCACACTCCTCCCCCTTTCCTCCCCTATATAAGCTCTCCCAGCCATAGTCCCACGATCTCTCTCTGTCCCCCTTCCCCCTCTTTTCCCACCCCCCCTCTCTCCTTCCATCCCTCCCTGCACCCCCCCACCCCACATCCATCCTGTGGGGGCCAGTGCTTTGGTTCTCCCTAATAAACTCTCTTCTGCTTGAACCCTGGGGGGCGGGGAGGGGGTCGTTCTCCTTTCAGCAACCCTTAGCAAAGGTAACATAACTTGGGGCCAAAGCTCCTCTCCAAAACCAACGCCATATTCTTCACTTTTCAATATAGTATTTCCTGTGCTAGAAGTTTTAAGGTTTCATATGCAAATTCTCCCCCAGGGCTCCCTCATGCCTCATCAAATCAATTCTAGCTCCTGAGGAGGCTGAGAACCGGAGGACTGCATGGCAAAGCTTACCTGGACTGAACATTTCCAGGGACTCCATTTCCAAAATAACCAGCCAAAAGCTGGACTGGAGATGGGGCGCAAGTGGTAGAGTGCGATCTGAACAGTCAAGCTGAACAAGAGCTACAGGCCTTGAGTACAAACCCTTGTACAGGAACATTAGAAAATACTACTGGAAGTGGCACTGTGGCACAAAGTGGTAGAGCACTAGCCTTGCACAAAAAGAGCTCAGAGACAGCACCCAGGCTCTGAGTTCAAGTCCCACGACTGACAAAAATAAAATTGTTTACAATATACTATCAAATTCTAGAAAAAAAAAACAATTCAAAAGACTGAAAACACAGATGATTAACCTGAGTGTTAAGGGACTGCCCTAGTAACAAAAGGCAACGCATTACAGCATAAATTAGAGAGAACTGTTTATTTGCTAAAAAAAAAAAAAAAAAACAAGAGCTGGGTAAAACACTATAGGATAGCTTATGACTTCAGTCACACAATAATATACACAGGGAAGAAGAATGGAAGGAAATCAATCTCAACTTTGCTATTTAAGGGTTGGCATTTTCTTATTCTTATTTTTCCTTATTTTTAAATTTTTCTAGCCAAGTATGCCAGACCCAGAGAAACATAGGTCACATGGTTTCCCTCATTTGTGGTAACTACAATATGCCTAGGAATCTACAAATAAGCATACTGGTGGTAAACAAGGGGTTACAAATGAATTAATGGAAGTGTAGTAGACTCTCCGGAGAGCACAAATAGTATTTCTTTAAAAAGATCAAGTCAAAGCCCAGCAAGATAAGTACCAGTAAATGGGTACTTGCAAGAGGCAAGGGTGGATAAGAGTGGATAAGAGCCAAGAGGACAGAGTGGAAGAAGGAAGGGGGAGAGGGGAAGAATGCAAGCGAGAATTCACTGTAGGTACTACAAAATTGAGAAATTGAGACATAGAAGGGAAGGAAGGGGTGGGTCAAAGGGAGATAAAGACGTGGAAGTGGTGACACGGATCAAGATGCATTGTACATATAAACTGCTCTGTTAATTGGCAAAAGACTCAATACATAGCCTAAAATTAAGGTAAGTAAGGGAAGTTCTGAGTTAAGAGGGATGGGTAAGAATGTGGATGACATGATCAAGATGCACTGTATTCGTGGTAACTCCTTTATACAACTATTTAAAGACAATAAAAATATTCAAAAAAAGATGTTTATAGCATTCCCCCAACTCTCTATAATGAGCATGTACTAGTATTTCTGCAACCAGAAAAGGCTCCCTTAAAAATATTATTTTTAATATTATATATCTATATCATCTATCTAACTCTATCTAGCTACTGAGAGACAGAGCAAGACAGAGAGAGAGAGAAAGCTCTTACTAGATTATGTTCTTAGACTCTTAGGTAGTAACTGTCTTTTCTGTAGGAAGTTCATAGTAGAATAGTGTAAGAAATGTATCTTAGCTAAGTACTGGTTGCTCATGCCTATAAGCCTGGCTATTCAGGAGGCTGAGGTTTTAGAATTATAGTTAGAAGTAGGCCCAGGCAGAAAAGTCCATGAGACTCTAATCACCAATTAACTATCAAAAGCCAGCAATGGAACTGTGGTTCAAGTGATAGAGCAAAAGAGCTAAGAGACAGTGTCTGGGCCCTTAGTTCAAGCCCCAGGACCAGCACATGCACATGCATGCTTGTGCATACACACACAAATGCAAGGAAGAGATACAGAGATACATATCTCTATCTTCCTTATAAGTAAATAGGTCTTTAAATTGAAATTTAGATTTCCTGGTTTTCTTTGTAATGGCTAACTTTTCAATATACTTTCCTCTGTCATTTTGATTATATTTGCAAAAGGAAGATGGATTTGTTAGAAGGTGAAGTTCTATCTAGGGGCTAGGATAGGAACAAATCAAAGGCTTTTAATCTAGTCTTCTGTGAGGTCGATGAGCAGTCACACTACTTCCTCCACACAAGACAATTTCTTCATCTCTAAATATTTGCTGTTTCACAGACCAGCTTTATGATGTAAATAGGATGGATTAGAAGTCGTCAAAAATGTGTTGCTTAACTCAAGATACATTCCTATGTTACAGTTTACTCATGTATTTGGCTTGTTTTTTGGAAAGTTGACTGCAACATAATACTCAAGAATTATAACTCTTTTTAGTGGGAGGAATATAAATGCATAACAAGGGCTTTCTTTCAGATCTAGAACCTTAATTCTTGATGAAAAATGGTGAGGAATTGTAGTTGATTATCTCCTACATAGGCATCTCCACAGAAATGAACAGCATTGCCCCTAGCTGGCAAGGCTTTAAACCCATAAAGGGAGGTGTTGGGTTGACCCACTAGAGTGACATCAGTATGGAAGGGGCAGGTTTTAAACCATGCTTCATTTCTCCAGTGGTTCTCTCATTTTGCACAGCGATGAGCTACATACACACACTTGCCTTGCAAGATTTACCCTAGTAGGAAGACAGAAGTAGCCAGAACACCACTTTCTGATACCTAGTCATCAAATGGAGCATCGTTATTTCAATTAAGGTAAAAAGAACCAAGTTATTAGTACTCATCTTTTAAAACTTTAGAAACAGATCTCTCAGCTTTTCCCTCTTTTCCTATAAGGTTTTCATTCCCAAGCACAACGTCAAGTACACAGAAAAGAAAATCCTAAAGAAACATTTTTTGCTCTTTCCATTTTGTTGTTGTTGTTGTTAGGACAGGCAATGTATGTTAAGTTTTTCAAGGACTGGAAGGTGGCTCAAATGGAAAGCATCCAATAGTCTATCAAACCAGGGGCTTCCATGAGACCTTTTCACACCTCCCCCATAATGCCTACTCATAGGCCTCTTGGCTCACAGGATGATTTACCCTTTCTTACTACATGCACCCTGAGACAATTTCCCCTAGGCACATCAAGAACCCTCTTTCCCTTTTGACAGAGTTCACTTGGAATTTGGCAAAACAGCCATAGTCAAAAGCCAGTGGAAAACCAAAAATTATCTATTCCAACACGAAAGCCAAAAGTGAATTTAACAGTTTGATATCTTTATTTTCTAAAACTAAATGGAAAAGAAAGCCCTTAGCAAAATGAAGATACGCCTGTTGACCATGTTTCTTCATCATGTAATTACGGAGTGAATGAATGAATGAATGAGCGTAAAATCAAGTCTGACAATCAACAGCAAAGCATGATGACTTTACATTTAATGCAGGTTTGTTTTTCTACCCCATGCATCGTGTTTTGAGACTGTCATGAGCCTAGAAATAATACTTCAGGGACAAGGGGTCAATTCTGAGTTCTGGAAAAATTGGATAAGCAACTAGTTCTGAAAATGTTTGGGCCATGATAATTAGAGAGGTTTCCATAAGGCAGTCATGGAAGACAAAGAATGATTTCTGGCCTGTCTGTAAAAGCCATGGAGAAAGTTCCAGAAGAGCTGGAGCAACCATCGACCATCAACTCATGGAAAGGTTTACAGAAATGCTCTGGCTTTCCTAACTGCCCCCACAAAGAGCATAAATTGTCCCCCAATAATTGACACAGATGTTACAGATGTTTCCACTTTATAAACATTTGCCAAAAAATAAAGGTGTTTTTTTCAACCCTATCTTTTAGCTATTAAGACACTATGCTAAATCAAGAATTCATATGCTGAAATGTATAATTTATTTGGATAATATGCCAGTAATGTGGCAAGCCAAGTGAGCAGTTAGGAGAGAGATGTATTACTCTGATGAACTACAAATCTGTAGCTCACTGTCTAATTATTGCATGTCAAGGGTATTTGTAGCTCTCTGTCTAATTATTGCATGTCAAGGGTATTTGTAGCTCATTGTCTAATTATTGCATATCAAGGGTATCTGTAGCTCACTATCTAATTATTGCATGTCAAAGGTATTTGGCTAAAGCTTAAAAGGGCTACTTCCAATCTCACATTGGTTATGAAGATATCTATCATCAGTTAGCAATTGTCAGCCAATTGTGCTTATTTTAGGCTCTTAGTATTCCATCATTTTCTTTAAATATAATAGGGAAATAAGAGTAACAAGTAATATTTATTTCCTCTGTATTACAGAGGGGATTAACACCACATAACTTGAACTCTGGGCCTGAACCCTGTCCCTCAGCTCTTCAGCTCAAGGCTAGCGCTCTACCACTTGAGCCACAGCACCACTTCCAGCTTTTTCTGTTTATGTGGTGCTGAGGATTCAAACCCAAGCCTCATGCATGCAAAGCAAGCACTCTACCACTGAGCCACCTTCCCAGTCCCATGTAATGTTTCTGAGAGAACTAGTCAAGATTAAGTCTTTGTGTCTGACCCTCACATAAAACCAATGGGAACCTGTACATTTTGAATAAAATTCTATTTGATACACAGCAGTAGTCCTCAGCTAATGTCCATCACATAAAGTAGTTCTAAAGCTGCAACCTCTTTAAGTCAAACCCTATTTCCAATTTTCTCCCCTATGTATTCTTTCTGAAAGAGTCTTTCATTAGAGGAAGAGTATCTGTAAATGCTGATGAAGGAAGCAAAGGAAGTAAGGGAAAGAGAGAGAGACAATGGGAGGAAAAGAGGGAGGGAGGGAGGGAAGGAGGAGGGAGGGAGGGGAAGAAGGAAAGAAGGAAGGAAGGAAGGAAGGAAGGAAGGAAGGAAGGAAGGAAGGAATTCAACATCATTTGAACATATGATAACAGACTTTAGCCCTGATTTTCTGTAGGTCTGAAACCTAGCTCTCTTTAAGGAAACCATAAAGATTCCCCACAATCATATTAACTGGTAAATAGTTGAACACTTTGATGCATTTTCTTACTGTCTCATTTTCACTATTTGTAGACATTTAAAAATATAATTGGAAGCAGGGTGCTAGTGGCTCACGCTTATAATCCTAGCTACTCAGGAGGATTGGGTTTAAACCCAGCCCAAGAAGGAAAGTCTATGAGACTCTTATCTCCAATTAATCATTCCAAAACCAGAAGTGGTGCCGTGGCTCAAAGTGGAAGAGTACTAGCCTTGAGTGAAAGAGCTCAGGGATAGTGCTCAGGCCTTGAGTTCCATCCCCATGACTGGTTATTATTACCTTGTGTTCTCTAGTTCTTAATCAACATTAGGCCTCAAACATATCTTTGTGACATTAAATATTCTTTTGAACATTAATAGCTATGTTATATTCTACTGCATTATATAATTCATTTATGCATACTTTTCCTTCTAGTAATATTTTTATTATTTCCAAATATTTGTTATTATGACCAGCTCTGTCATGAGCCATCTTATTATATTAGATTCTAAGTGAGGTACAGACCCTTTTCCCCAGCACAGAGAGCGTGGCAAATACCATACCGACCTGTTACTTGAGTAGGCGCGATCACTTGGCTGGCACTTGAAGTAGAAGCTTCAGGGGCGATTTCCACAGGCACTGGGGGAGATGTCTTTTCAATTACTACTGCATGAGGAAGTAGGGGATAAAAGGAAAAATTAAAGCCTTTTACATACTCTGAAATCTAATTTCACAGTGCAAGCATAACTTAGTCGAATCACATATCATACTAGTTCGTGGATATAAAGAACTACAATAGATCTTGAAAGCTTATGGTATTAATTCATGGCACTGGTTTCAATATTTAGCAAGAACATTATACTGCAACTCAAAAATTTAAGAAAAATGACCATTCAGCAAAAAAGTGACTTTCGAAGTTCAAATAATTGTTATTACTCTTGGTCACAGAAGACAGTAGAAACCTTGCCTTTCCCACTGGAATGCTTGTAGTACTTTCTAAGTACCTTTTTATGGCACCACAAGGCAGTATGGGAACTTACTAAAGTGTGTGTGCTATTCATAATTCAATTGCAAATTCTAATTATCTATTAAATACTATCAACCACACACATACACACACACACACACACACACACACAAATCTCATCTTATGCTTTCATTAAGAATACTCTTATAAACAACACAGAGCAACACAAGTTACCTGGATATTGTGGGTGCAGGTGAATAGTTGAAATGCCTGGAGAGAGCTGGGGTTGCCCAGGCTCGAGTTTGGTTTTCTCTTGATCCAGTGAAGGTATTTCCTGCAGGTTGTATTTGAGACAGTGGGAAGTAGGGAGGAAAAGATGGAGAGGGGAGAAAGGGAACAGAAAGGAAGGAGAAAAGGGAAGTAGGAAAAGAGGGAGAGAAGAATTTAAAGTAGAAATTAAAGTAGGAACTATTTTGCTTCCCACACTGTATTGTTATTATTTAATAAACTACACGCTTAGACCAAGAGATATCATAGGACATTAGATGCAGCCTGGATAATCTTTTAACATAAGCCTACAGTGCTGTTACTACAATGGTAATCCTTTGACTTTGCTGCAGTCCTGGTGTTCACACATGCTCCAATCCATTTTCCTGGGGCTCACAGGCAAACCCTTCAAGCAATGGCCTTGGCTCAGAAGTTAATATCTGATCTTTGACAAGGTCACACGAGCCCCAAACGAGGACTCAAGCTTCATGTGTCCCACAGCCACCCTTTCTGCAGATTAAATCATAGGTGTCACAGCTGGATTATGATAACATGCACACATTAAACTGGACTATTTGAAAGCAGTTATCAGGGCCTCCATTAACCTCGCATCTACTCCAGGTCTCTGACAGTGGCAGGCAGCCACAGCAACAAGAACTGTGGTTTCCAAAAAGGACTCAGAGGTTCCTAACATATCCTGTATTCACTCCTGTCCCCTGGACCACAAGAAAGAACCAGATCTGTTCACCATGGCTCAGGCCAATTGAATGATTAGTATAGTGAAGAGTCTTTACATTTACCCACCAGTGTGAGAGTTCATACCAGCACTTCATTAAAAGTGTTCATCAAGCTACATCTTCACTGTTTCCCTTCTTCTTCCTATTACCTTCCAGAAAGCTCTCTCTCCTGTTCTACTCACGTCCTCCCTCCTGGCTTCAATTATCACCTCTTTCCTGCTTCTAAAATAGACAACCTGACTGAATATTTTATCAAAAACCTGATTTTGTAACCATGAATGCATAAAGGATAACTCTGTTGAGATATTCCATGGATTGCTCAACCCACCCCCTTCTTCTCCCTCTACACACACACACACACACACACACACACACACACACACACACACACAATCATCCAGCCATTCATTTCTGTTAATCCACCGTCATTAATCCATGCCATTCAGATTGTAAGGTCCCTTTTCTAGTCCTTAGACCTATTCACTCTTCCATAGCCACAGACCTTGCCAGCCCAGTGTGGACTCATTCCCTCACGCTGTTTACTGGAACCAACACATTGGCTTCTCAGGCTGCTTTTGTCTCTTCTTCAATTTCATCCTGCCATGATTCCTCTGAGCACGTATTACACTTCCCCTGTGTCCCCTCTTTTTAGGAATAGAGACTGGCTTTCTATAACCTGTTAGAGAGATGACTTCAGTCTGTCTTGATTGCACCCCATTCCCTGGCCAACATCAACAGAAAAGCAGACCATGATCAAGTGCTAATCCACTCTCACAGTCTGTAGACTGAGTGTCGCCCATCAGCAGGAGCCGGCAGACTTCCTGATCAACACTTCTCCATGTGACAGGTAGGATCCTGTTGATTAGCAGGGAATTTCCTCACCGCTTTACAACTGAAGCTTGGTATTTCTCACATTCCAAAAACAGCTCCCCAATTCTCTTTCTAACCAACTCCTTCATCACCCTTGTTACTCTCCTAGCCAGCCTTTGTGTACATCTTTCACATCATGAGACCCTTGAAAAGTAGCAAGAACCCAAAGACCAGGATTCCATGTTTCCTCACTACCTCCTCTGATGAAGACTAGCACTCCAAAATTAGAATTTCTTCCTTCTAGCTTCTCTTAGCACCATAAGATAATATTTGTGCTATTCTATCTTATAACCTAACAAGTTCAAAAGCTATTCCTGGGTAAAGTGACATATGCCTGTAATCTCAGCTACTCAGGATGTAGAGAGAAGACTAACATAAGTAAAGTTAGCAAGACTAAATCTCATAAAGCAAACAGAAAAGCAAACAACACAAAACAAAAACAAGAGAGCTAGGGGTATGGGGCAAAGTGGTAGAGCATCCACCTAGCAAGTGAAAGGCCCTGAGTTCAATTTCCACTGCTGAAAATAAACAAATAAGCAAGAAAAAAACTACTTACAATGGCTTTTGTATCATCCTCATCTAAATCTATTACATAATGCATTCTTATTAACTGAAGGACATATAAATGTATAGATATTTAATAATTACTTAATTGCCACATTACCCGTCAAATAAAGAATCAAGATTCAGAGAAGGTATAAGCTTACATAAATAGAACTTGAATCCAACAAAGGTCTGAATTCCCTACTAATAAATCTCACAAATCATAGTCCCAAATTATGCCCCTAAATAAAAAATTGATTTTAAAAAGTTTCCTAAAAATTCTAAAGAACAGTGTTTTCCAGTATCTGATTATAGCTTAAGATTAAGCTCTGTACACTAATTAAATTCTGACATGTATGTTCAACTTCAGTGAATTAACAAGAGCTTCACTTATTTTTACATGCACTCTGAAAACACACAATTATATAATCACGTCAGAGCATTTCTTTCCTTCCAGCCAAGCAACCAGCTGACTCTCAGAACTTTACTTGTGTCTCTGGTCTGCCTTCCTTCCTTCCTGTTTCCTTTTCATTAGAATTTAAGTTCCACAGGAATGAGAGTCGTGTCTGATGTGTTCTCTGTTATTTTTCCTTCCACTGTTCTCTGGCAGGTGCCCAATAAACATTGTTTGAGTGAATGAATGAATGCTCTATTTCTTTAAACTAAATGATGCATGACGTACCTCTTAGTGTATTTAAAAAACTTTAAATCCTATACATATTCCCTCAAAAACATATTTTGAAGAGCAAAAGAAAGAAGATTTGAAAACAGTGAGACAATTACCTTCTCAGGGGCTGCAGTTGCCACTAAAACCAGAAAAGAAAGAGGGGATTAGTACAATTTAAGATAATTTACTCATTATAGTTCAATTTTTAAACAAAATCAATAATAGTCCAAAAGGATTAAGAAACAAGCTAAAGCAAACACAGAATCACCTGTCATTTTGGAGAGTGTTACACATGACTGGCTGAGAACTTTCTGTACTCCTTCTTCAAATTATAGGAGTGCAGAGGACAATCATGGGTAAGCCTCTCAAACTTTCGTAATTAAGATAATTCAACTAACTCTCAATGAACATGAAAGAGAAATTAAACTAAGAAAAAGACATAATCATTTCCTGCCTAATCTTCACTTTTCTGAAGCTCCTCATGTCTACGGAAACAATTAACTTCAGTAATGAGTCAAGTACTTATCCTGAACTGAACTAGTACATAATATTGGAAGTGCTATCTGGAGTCAATGTGAAAAAATACTGCCACACATGGAAACAAGATACATGACAGCAGCACCGTCTAGATGTAGACCAAATTGTAGTGACGCCCTATAAACATTGTCAGAAAGACACAATAACTAAATTATGGGTGAAAAGAAAAATCGTCTAAGCCAGTAAGAGCCAATTAGAGGTTAGCATCAATATATTGAGCAAATGAACCAGTATCCAGTCAGAAATGTTATTGGGGTATGGGTGATGTCTTTGTATTGTGAAAGGCTTGCTCAAAATGAGTCCTCAAGCCCTGGGTCAGTGCACACTGGGAGTTTTCTCCTGAACCAATGCCTCCCTAATCATTTGTAAATAGGCTACCTGGATGCATCAATTCGTGGTGACAATCCGGGTACCAGATAAATGAAATTACTACTATACTATTATTGAAAATATCCTGTCAAACACATTCTCAGAAAAGTCTTAAGGCAGAATTGGACCAAAGCTAGTTTCCTTCTGCCTATGCTGAGTGATAAACAGTTGCAAAGGCCGTGACATTTTATATGAACATAGGCAATTCCAGGTGAGCACCTACCTGTTCTATCTAACCTGGGAAGAAGTGCAGGGAGCAAATGAGGAGTGTAATAAAATAGGCCAGAGCACACAAATGCTCACAGCCTGGGGAGCAGGGGGCGGGGAGTAACCCTGCCTTCCAAAAAGGAGGCTCTTCACTATGCATAGCCTGGTTACCCTATCTTCCCACGAGATCTGTAATAGAATGGGCATTCCAAATTCTAACCTAAGAATCAACTGCAAAAATCTGGCAAGAATTTTATTAGGATATAGATATACACACACACATATATATAATTAATATGGAATATACACATATTCCATATATATAAATATTTTCCAAACAAATCTAAAATGTGCGTTCCTTCTGTCTGAAACAAAATTTTTTAGCAATCAAGATATTAAAATAGAATGGAAATTCTAGCTTATATGAGAAGATAGGGATAGAAATAATCCTCCTTCTTCCTGAATACCAAAGAGACAGTCAAAGGCAACTGTCCCTAGACTCCCTTTATCTGCTTTCTGGTCAGGGATCCATTATAAATCTGTATGACATGGGGTGAGTCCTATTTCCTCTCTAGTCTCAAAAGGTTAATACAAGGACTGTACTAGATGTCTCCCAGATCCCTACTTTCCTGTGTTCACTCTCTAGTAGCTCTAACTGCTCAATAGCCCTGGTGCAGGAAGCTGTTAACCCTTTCACTTTTCTTTTTTGCCAGTCTTGAGGCTTGAACTCAGGGCCTGGGCATGGCCCCTGAGCTTCATTTGCTCAAGGCTAGCACTTTACCACATGAGCCACTGGGGCTTTATGCATGCTAGGCAAGCACTCTACCACTAAGCCACATCCCCAGCCCCCCTTTCACTTCTTGAAGCTAGTAACCTCCACTTTGTAAAGCAATGTTTACTAAATGGTTCCCTAGACTGGGAATTGAATGAGGACTATCCTCTTAAGGCTCTAAATCACTATCCAGGCATCAACATCCACCAAAAACAGCCTCCAGACAGCAAGACGGTGTTCTGAATTACCATGGAATATTACTGCCTGCTAGGTACAGTGATTCTTATTGCAGCCATTTTGGAAATCTCATCCAGGGATGTTTGTAATTTTTTTTTTATGGGGAAGGGGTGCCACTGGTATCTGGAGATCAAAGGCCATAGATACTGCAATACACCTGGCCCTCTCCCTTGTCGGTGAAAAATTGTCCATTTTCAAAGGCTAATAGGGCTGAGGAGCCCTGTTCTACAGGGCTATAACCAGAAAAAACAAAGACACAGACGCACAGAGAGAAGACTTTAAACCCACAACCCAGTCCCCCTTTTACCTTCAGGCTCGGCCGCTCCTGGCCTGTGTTCCCGGGAGAAGGTCAGGGCCTCCACTGGCTCTTCCTTGGCTGGGAGAGGTGGAGGATGAGTACTTTTAGCAACAGGTTGAGTGTTCTTTGGCTTGACAAACAGAGGTCCTTTACCTACATGGTGATGGATTGGCCTGCGTCTATGAACGCCAGACACCGTATAACCCAGTCCACCAGGACAGGTTTCCTTAAAAGCAGCTAGATTTGGGATGGGAAAATATTCCTTTTAAAAATCTAACAGTGCAAACCTACACAGAGGAAAATATCATGATGAATAGCTCTTAATAAATCATCATTCACATAGGTACATTTAAAAACTTCAAGAACAGATACGAATGTGAGCAAATTGCTTAAAGTCCTAATAAACTTTCATATTTACATTTTTTAAAAAATCCCCCCTTTGCTTTAAACATTTATAGCCAGCTGTTCATTTGTGATCCTACCCAACCCTCTCTCTATATACATATACATATATACAATACTGTCATATAGAAATATGTATCAGTATAATATATATCAATATAGTATATAGAAATATATAATATATTTTATCAGTGTATATATACTGGCACATATATACACTGATAAATCTCTCATAAATTTAGCTTGTATCTTATGCATCACATTACATATATCAGCAAGCAACTTGATATTTTATGTATATATATATATATCATATTATCACACTATAGATGTAAAAGGTAATGACAAAGTATGTATATTAGAAAACATTTTATATACAGAAGACAATAAATACCTATTACATATTTCATGCTGAGTTTACTTATAATATCAGAAAAAAATCAGGCTTTACTCTTCTCCCCTTGCTTTGTTGTTGTTGTTTTAGTTACAAGGAGTTCAATGACATCTCAGTAAAATGAAAAAGACAGAAAAAGAGAGGGAGGAGTCAAGCAGATGCGGGGTATCGAATCTAGGAGAAGAGGTACTGAAATCCTCATGGTTTGTTTCCACTCAAAGAACTCAAAAGGCTCAGCCAGAAGTGTATATCTCCCTGTTTTCAGTCAGGAAGGAATGAAAATGGGCATGGCTTTGATAGTAAGGAGGAAGGCCACGAGAGGAGACTGGCTAAATTGATAGCAAGAAATGAAGAATAAAAGAAAATAATTTTTTCAAGCCATACCTATTTCAAGGACCACAGACAGGCAAAAGTCTGGCCAGGACCAGTAGGCTAAACTCTGGGGAGAAGGAAGGATTCTGTGCTCTGAAATCATTATCCTCACCAGAGAAAAAGCGTGCTTGGAAGGTGATTTGCAAGCCTCCACTGCATAATCCTGGTGAATTAACAAAGAGCACTGACAGGTGGCCGGGAGTTGTGTGGCCTGCAGGGGGAAAATCCACCTAATCCCTTTGCTGTTGGTGTTGGAGGAAAGTTACCAAACTCAGACACCAAAGAGGGAGCTCACAGGCATTTTTTATGTCTACTTCTAAAATTGAAAGTAAAACAAGTCATTTCTCACTTTGACCAAACAAGAGATCTTCTATTGAATGTTCTGAACCTAAAATTAGCTCTCAATAAAAAGGAAACTCTAAAATACACTTTAAAAGCATGCTAAAATGTTGCTTTCCTAAGGATCTCACACTAAAAAGTGGAAACTCATTCTTACGTTGAACTGGGAAAGATAATTCTTCTTTGAAGAAAGGATGTTTGCAGAAGGCAACATGTGTTTAAACTAAGCATTTCTTTTAATTAAAAAAAAATCACCCTAAAACCAAAAGTGAGTTAAGTGCAAAAATCATTGATCTTTTACATTATTTTCAAATTTAAGCATTGCACTGTGAGAGGGTCTGAGTTACATTTACCATCTTGATTATGACTATGTAAGGATTACAAAACTGAACTTAAATGTGTCCGTGAACCTGAGATATTTTCATTTGATTATTATATTTTAATAATGAATGCCTAGAAAGGCACAGGAAGTTAACTGGGGCCAATTGGAGGTGTCTAAAGTGATCTCATCTACCAATTAAACATCAACTTTATATTATCTTTGCCCTTAGTTTCTTCCTGATTCTAACTACCAACAAAGGTGGATCATGACTTTGGAGCTTTCCAGATCCTGTCCACTATCACATTATATAGTTAGACCTTTAAGATACCACATGACTCTGTGAGACAGAATGCTGTGATGACCTAATTAGGAATTCATCTACCTCCTCATATGGCAAGTATCAACATCAACAACAATCCAGTAGACTCTTTTATGTCCACCATAAGCCAGTAAAAGTAGAGGCTATTCTTGCTTTGGTCATAGCACGCCTAATATTTACTTCTCTTCCATCTCACTCCATAAGCCCCTGCTTGAGACGCTGCTAACTCTTTGGGAGAAGGTACTTAGAGAAAAATGTATCCTTTCGGGGCACTAGGCAGTTATGTGCCAATCAGAAGAATGAAGAACCAACTTCCTAATGCTAAGTTCTCCTGGAAATTCATAGGGGTGTGGGCAGGATCTGCTTTAGAAGCCACTGATCTTCACAGCATAAATTCAATCATGAATATAATTCCTTCTGATTTTATTTTATTTTTGTCAGTCATGGGGCTTGAACTCTGGGCTTGGGCACTGTCCCTGCACTCTTCAGCTCAATGCCGCTTGAGCCACAGCGCCACTTTTGGTTCTTCTGGTGGTTTATTGGAGATAAGAGTCTCACAGACTTTCCTGCCTGGGCTGGCTTTGAACCTCAGATCTCAACCTCCTGAGAAGCTAGGATTACAGGTGTGAGCCCCCAACACCCAGCTCCAATTTTATTAAAGGAATTAAGTATATTGTTCAATAAATTAATGAGTCAACCTGCACATAGTCCAATTACTGTGAAAGGATCGGCCACTAATCAGAATGAGAGTAGAAGGCCCAACAGGGATTTCTGGTCTTTATACGTAAATATCCCAGTAAGCATCCATGAGCATGAGGCTAAAACAATGGCCTTTCTTATTATTCAGGAGGGAATCTAATGTTCACCAGAAAAATAGGAAAAATCACTTTGCAGATACTTCTTTTCCCCTAATACATTCCACTTGGTTATGGCCAGGCTTTCCACAAATGTATCTAAAAAGTGAACATTGCACTGACTATCAAAAAGTAAATTTTATGTCAGAAATCCAAATGCCCCAGGCTGTAAAGACACTTTTGCAGACTCCTGTGCCTGGGAAGGTTTGTGGATATACATCTGAGCATGCCTTACCTGTGCCTGGAAGGGGACATTTCTCACAGTGTGGGCCCCAGGCCTTGCCCACACTACAACAGCAGAGCTGCTTGGTGAGGTGAACAGACAGAGGGTGCATACACTGCCTGCCGGAACTGACAAGTCGGTAGCAGGGCCCTTTCTCTTCTGAGATCACAGGGGGATCCGCTGCAGCAGAGAAATAAAAGCCCAACATCATACAAGAAACAAAAGCCAGACGGACCTTTCAAGCAATACGAAGATGCATCTTCAAGTACAGAATTAGAAGCTACACTTCAGACTACATTCCTCTAGAACAAATGTACCACTGTTCTTGGTTAAGTCCTTTGCCAAATACATTTTAGACTCTGATCATCAAATACCATGACCATGATTGTTCTTGTCCCTCTATGGATCCTTCTGCCATTTTAGCAAGCATTAACATGTGGGCAGACTTCATCGTATCTATTGAAGGCCTTAGGAGAGAAGAGGCTCTTCTTCAATAAGAGGAAATTCTTCCAGCAGACACTCTCTTGATGGATGCTGAACCATCAACCCTTTCTAGTTTGCTGACTGTCACTTGCCTTGAAAATGTTTGACTTGCTAGCTTCCAAAATTACATGAGCTGATTTCTTGAAATAAATATCAACTCCCTGTCTTAAGGGAGAGGTGTGTGCATGTGTATGCATGTGTGTGCATGTGCTCTTAGTCTGCAGTTGAAATCTCACGCATTGTACAAAGAAAATGTAAACATTTCAGGTACATTATCATCTGAAGGAAAAAGACAAAAGTCTAGCAAGCTTATTCTTTCTCGACATCTTGTCCCTGGAGATCTGCTTTGTTGTTGTTGTTGTTTTAAATTTCATTGTCAAGGTAAAGTACAGAGGGGTTACAGTTACGTAAGTAAGGTAGTAAGTAGATTTCTAATCGACCTTGTTACTCCCTCCCTCATTTTTATTTTGGAGATCTGCTTTATAGGCTTCTTCCCTCCCATCATTTCCTAAGCCAATTATTCACTCTAAGTTCTGCAACTATTTGGAATACTTTTTTTCCCTCCCTATCCCCGCCCCCCACCGCCCCTGAACAGTGCCTCCAACAGAGGGAAGGCAGGGGCCTAAGAGGAAATGGCCGAAGAGAAGAGGGAAAGAAAAAAGAACATAAGATAAATGATGAAGATTCAGTGATGTTCTTGGACACACAAGTGGGGTGCTGGCAGGCCCACTTGAGTAGCTAAGAAAGCCAGGCTACTGTGGGCCAAAATCACTACTCCAGGAAGGAAAGCCCAACTTTAATGAGAAAGCAGGAGTGTTAGCTCTAATAGACTCACGATGCTTTAAAAATAATCTAGAACCATAGAGTCCAGGGCAGTAGGCACAAGCCATATGCTGCTACTTGGATAAAATTTAAATGAAATGCAATGACAAATTCAGCCTCATGTAACCAGTGGCTTCTGTATTACGCAGCACAGATGGAAGCCATCTATCTCATCCTTACAGAAAGTTCTCTTGGGTGATGTTGACTAGCTTACGATACAGGGAGTGTTTTCTGCTAAGGGCCAGAGAATAACTATTTTAGATTCAGTGGGCCATATAGTCTCTGCTACAACTTCTGTTGTTTATTATAGCACACAAACAGCCTCACACACTATACGACTAAATGAATGTGGCCACGACCCAATAAAACTTTATCCATGAGCTGTAATGAGCCAAGTCTTGATACAGAACCTTGAATCTGGAGGCACAAGTCTTGGTTTCCAATCTCAGGTGTCAGTTACTAGCTGTATGGAATTTTTATAAACTCTCCTAGCTTCGATTTTCCCATAAGTAAGATGCGAATAACAATTCCGATTTCATAAAGATTTTAGAGAAATTAAAAAAGAAGTCAAATACATAAATATAACTGCCCCTTGAAAAAAATTCCCTTCATTCATCTTATGGTCTCTGGGCACATCTCTCTAACCACCTTATTTCTGTGAATAAGCTCTACATCTACAAGTTAGAATATCATACAAGAATGAAGGTCAGAAGCTCTGTGCCCATGGCTTACATCTGTGATCCTATGCACTCAGGAGGCTGGGATCTGAGAATCCTGGTTCAAATCCATCCCAGGTAGGACCATCTGACTTTGAATTAGCAAGCAAAACCCGGACATGGAAGTATGGCTCAAGTGGTAAAGCATCCACTTTGAGCAAAGGAGCTTAGGAACAGCACCCAGTTCAAGCCCCAGTTCTGCATATAACAAAACAAAATACAGCCAAGGTGAGGCTGAGATCTCTTTCTCTGGGTATCTTTACTGAACCTACAGATATATCTTAACAGCACTCACCCTGGTGAAGAAATCTGCAGCTCAGAAGATAGAAAATCTTCCTACTGAAATCCCAATGGCTATTTGACTTCCCTTGAATTTGCTCTGTAAGACCCCAAGCTTTCCACCTTTCCCCATAAGCTTAGGCAGAAGCAGGTTGGGAGAATACTGTCTCAGCATCTTCAGCCACAGACACAGAGATGAGGGGCGACAAATGTTAGCATCCACCTATCCCCTTCCTTTGGCGGTCAAAGCCCAGGACAGTGAGGCACAGGGGAAAAGGGAAGTAGTTGCAGCTTTCAGCTGGAGTTAGGAATTCTGAGGGTGTTGGCCTTAGGTGCACTGAGTACCAAGAAAGCCTCCCAGGTCCCTAGGCCATTGCCAAATGCATTGTTTTTGGAGGTCACACAGTCAACCACAGCTCTTACGGCCTGGACATGCCTATGTCACGCTGCCTAAGCAAATCCAGCCCTTGCCATCAGGAAATAGAGCTCTATCTGTGGTTTATACCTTTTGAGAATATATATTACATACTGAACATAACTCATCTGTGTGTGTGTATGTGTGTGTGTGTGTGTGTGTGTGTGTATGTGTGTGTGTGTGTGTATCCCCTACTCTCCTGCTACTTTCCCAAGACTATGTAGAGGTCACCACATCTTTCCAGATTTTTTTGTTTGTCTTGCTTTACTCTAGGAATATCACCTTCTTCCATGACCCCTTCCCAACTATCTTCAAACTTCTCAGAGTTCACCAATAATCAGGCTGGATTGCTTCCAATCACAAATTCTAAAGAAACTCTATCTTGGTGATATCCTGGGTAGTAAATTTAGAGGAGAGGGAACCCCATCTGCCGACTGAGAGCCAGTATAGAGCCCAGGTTACAACTAGTTCCAGTTCAGAAATGAACAAATGGCTCTGAATACTTATCATTTCAGCTCTTGTAGCTGAACCATAAAATCCAATTATTTATTTTTCAAATAAGAATGGATGGTTGTTGAATCAGTGCAAAATTAGTTGGGCAATGACAGGGAAAATAAATGCTAAGGAAATGTGCAAGTGTTTCAACATCCCCATTGGCAGGTTTCTACAATCTCATTAAAACCTGGCTATACGCCCTGAGCTCTAGACATCAGATCTAGTCTATGTTTCATAAAACAGTTCACAACCAGTTCTCCAAGTTAATTAATCTGCAACCTTCAATGTAAGCATTTTAAACAGACTGTAAGTCAACTTACTTAAGAGGGGAAAAAAACAAAGAGGCATTTACCACAAATTTTATATCCACACTCTACAATCTTTTATATTTCAATTATGAAACTATTTAGAATATTTATTTATGTAGTTCCAGTCTGCCAAAAAATCATCTCTAAATTTTCTGGATATTGTCCACTCTGTGATTTTTGGCCTCAAATTCTCAATTCCTTTTTTCAAATGTACCTTATGAACAAACTTTAAAGTCTAATTTTACCACTCCTACCCCTCCAGAAAAAGCTCTATAACTAACTGTCTGCCTGCTTTCACATCAGAGCTGTCTGCAAATCTACACAGGGAAAGAAGGACTTACCTGAAAAACTTCCTAATCTGCATTGGACAGTTTTTAAAGGAAAATAGTAGTAATTAGTAACAATATTTTGAAACATTAGACAGATCCACCAGACAGCAATAAAGGGGGCTGCTTTTTCATTTTACTACTTTCGTCTTCATATCATCATGGCCATTATCATCATCATAGTTGAAGGTCAAGTTTAAAACAGGGTCAAGGAGAATGCAGCTTTGCAGATACCACACATAAAAGCAATTAGGAGGACAGACACAGACAGGATTGCTCTCAATGTTATCCTGTCCTTTAACAGTATGAAAATCTGTAGTGTTTTAGCTACTTTCATAATAATAGGTATGGTTACATGAAAAAATATACAGAAAACTTGGGCTGGGTGTGTGGCTCAGGTGGTAAGAGCATCTGCCTAGCAAGCACAAGCCCAGAGTTCAAACCCCAGTAGAAGAAAGGGAAGGGAAGAGTAAGGGAGAGGAGGACAAAGAAGAGGTGAGAAGGGAGGGAAGAGAGAAAGAAAAGAAATCTCTGAAGTAACACATTAAGTACTCAGGCATTTGGTGTTTTTGGAGGAAGATAGGGCAGGATATTTGAAATAGAATGCAACCAGAAAATCTAAAATCTAAAATGTGAGTGTTCAGCAAGTGTTCTCCATACTTTTCCAAATGACTACAGTGAAACCTCATAAAATTAGAGTCCAGTGACTCAGAATTTGGAAAAATTAAAGACAGAAGCTGAGACAAAATTTAATCCAGATTAAAGCATGCCTATATATTTATGAAGGAAAAACCCATGCTTTACCTCCCAGTATACCTATTATATTTGTCTTTTCCTTCCTTCCTTCCTGCCTTCCTGCCTGCCTTGCTTCCTTCCTGCCTGCCTTCCTTCCTTCCTGCCTGCCTTCCTTCCTTCCTTCCTTCCTTCCTTCCTTCCTTCCTTCCTGCCCTCCTTCTTTTCTCTCTCCCTCTTTTTCTTGTCCTTGTTCTTTCTTCTTCCAACTTCTTTCTTTCTTCTTCTTCCTATTATTATGTTTTGTGGTGGTAGCACCTGAGTCATATGCCCAGCCTTTTGTGCTTTTTCAAATTTTAATTATTTTCCATATAGGGTCTAATACTTTCTGAAATTACAGGCACAACCCACCACACCAACTTGTTTGTTGAGATTGGTCTCACTAACATTTTGCTTGGTTGGTCCAAGATGTAGGTCCTCCTGATCTACATCTCTCAAGTAGCTAGGATTATTGGCATAAGCCAATGCCGCTGACCCTGGACTCTTTTTCTTTTGTTCTCAGCTGTGGCTATTTCCCATCTGAGTTTAAGCCATTACATTTTAACAAATGCAATAGAAAGCTCTCATCTATCCGTTATTTCAGCAGACAGGTTGGCCGGTCTTCTCTCTCTTGTCATTTAAAGAGTTGGTCCATTTCATTTAGGTTATATGTTTGAAGGCACAAGGGTGGGTATAGCTTCGCAGGACTTGTACCCAGCACATACAGGGTTGGGGTTAAGCCCCCTGCTAAGCCCACCCCTCAAAAAAATCAAGGGTATAGAATTGTTAATTATCCTTCACATGATCATGGAATTCATAATAACATTCCCACTTTCATTTCTGATTCTAGCAATTTGTGTATTTTTGTCCTTAATTAGCTTGATTAGTGGCTTATTGATTTTATTGATACTTTGAAAGAACCAGACCAGCTTTTGGGTTCATTGCTTTCTTTCTTTATTTCCTTATTTTCAATTTCACTGATTTCTGTTCTGGTGTGCATGTGTGTGTGTGTGTGTGTGTGTGTGTGTGAGAGAGAGAGAGAGAGAGAGAGAGAGAGAGAGAGAGAATATATGAGCATATGCACTAGTCCTAGAGCTTGGACTCAGGGGTGAGGTGCTGTCCCCAAGTTATTTTAGCTAATGCTAATGTTCTACCACTTGGGCCACAAGCCCACTTCCAGCTTTTTGGTGGCTAATTGCAGATAAGAGTCTCACTGACTTTTTTGGCATGGGCTGGCTTCATATCAAGATCCTCAGATCTCAGCCTCCTGAGTAGCTAGAATGATAGGCATGAGCAAGTGGCACTCATCCTCCATGCTGATTTTTAGGTGTTTTGTTGTTGTTGTTGTTGTTTATTTTCATTTTTTTGGCAATATGGGGGATTAAACTCAGGGCCTCAGGCTTGCTTGACTTCCATAACTTGTGCTCTACCCCTTGAACCATGCCTCCAGCATATGATTTTGCTGGCTCATTGGATATAGAGTTTCATGGAGTTTTCTGCCTAGGCTGGCTTTGAACTGTGATCCACCAGATCTCCTAGGTAATTAAAATTAGAGGCATGAACCACTAGCACCTGACCTTCTTGTCATTATAACTGACATATTTACCTGCATAGTTGTGATATTCCATTGACAACTGATTATTTTCCCTTCTTTCAGATAATCAAAGACAACTGATAAAGAGCAAGCAAGCAAGAAAAAGAAAGAACGGCAGAAAGGAAGAAAGAAAGAAAGGAAGAAAATCATAAGTACTTACGAACACAACTTGAAAAGGTAGCATCTGGCCCAAATCCTCTTTTGCAGGTGCACCGATAGCTGCCCATGGTATTCAAACACTCACCATTGGGGCACACGCCTTGCAGCTGACATTCATTAATATCTGTTGGAAGGCAACAACCCTTCAGAAGAGCAGCAAACCACACAAGTACGGTCTACTAACTTTCTTTTTCATTACAATAATCTCCTATAGTACATACATACATACATATCTAGAGAGTGGGAGAAGAGAATGTGGCAGGTATAAGTGACCTAAAATTACTGAATATTTATTGAGCATTTACAATTTGAATAAACTTTCCTGTACACACTAAGTCCTGTATTATGAGTAATAAAAATGATAAAAGATGGGCCTTGCCAGACAGAGTGTACCTGGCAGTCTTAGAGTAGGTAAGACATTATAAAACACAGTCATAAGGTAGAGTCTCATCTTAGATGTTCTGAAAGCCTAGCTGAGCACTAAAATATGGGAGAAACATTCAGGTTAAAAAGTACAGCACAGTTAATTTTTTTAACAAAAAAGTATAGTTTATCTGCCAGAGAACTGCATAACCTGAAACTGTCCTATTGTAAAGTTCTCTAAAGAGACAGTCAGAGCGCTAGAGGATGCTAACTTCAGCACTGAAGAGAAGGCAGGACTTTGGGGTGGGCATAGGTTGAATGGATGGCAAGGAGAGGAAGAGATATTTGTTGAGCGGACACACAAGCGTAAGCACCGCGATTTGCCAGGGGAAAGCACACAGGGAATGGTGAGTCAAACACGGGATAGAAACAAAAGTTCAGGAAGGTGAATAATTAGAGACAGATCTAGTAAATGCAAAGCTAAGTTTGGATCCAATTTTTTTTTTGGTCGGTCATGGGGCCTGAACTCTGGACCTGGGAGCTATCCCTCAGCTCTTCAGCTCAAGGCTTATACTCTACCACTTGAGCCACAATACCACTTCCAGCTTTTTCTGCTTATGTGGTGCTGAGGAATCGAACCCAGGGCCTCATGCATGCAAGGCAAGTACTCTACCACTGAGCCACCTTCCCAACCCCTGGATCCAATTTGATGTAGCACAGGGAGTTACCCTAAGAGTCTGTGAGCAGAAGAGGAATGCAATGGAAGCCAGACTCTAAGGGACATGCACCTGCCCAGCACGTGACTCAAGACTATGTCACAAATCTCATCACTGAAGCAGTGGTGACAGAGAAATTGGGAAGCTAAGGACAGAATGATTCTTCTTCAGAACAAGTAACGAAGCATAGTTCCAGACAAGGTGACACGTCACCAGAAGATAGGGGAGAGGACTCAGAGGTGGTGGAGGGGCTTCAGAGGAAAGAATGAACACCACTGGGTTTGTGGAAGGAAGTCTGAAGGGAAAACAAAAACCCCAAACTCCAGAAGATGAAGAATTCAGTGTTGTAGATCAAGATCATATCAAGATATTTGAGCAGAGTTTTCTGAAGTGGCAGAAGATTCTGGAAGAAACAGAATAAAGAAGCATTGGCTGGAAATGGAAATTGGGATGATCCACTTACACACAGAGGTCCAGAGGAAATCAAAATGACACAGGGGGAAAAGATAAATGTGGGGACTTTGAAAACAAACTGTATGGCCACATGCAAAGAGGATTGAGATCCAAGAAAGAATGGGCTTAATTAACCACTTTTATTTGATCCATTAATACCATAATTTAAAATATAGTTACATTGTTATACCATCATTAATTCTCCTACAATTTACTAATTGTCTTTATTAATTATTATTATTATTATTATTATTATTGCCAGTCCTGGACTTGAATTCAGGGTCTGAGTGCTGTCCTTCAGGTTTTTTCTTTACTACTTGAGCCACAGCTCCACTTCCTGCACTTTGGTGATTCATTGGATAAGAGTCTCACAGACTTCCTGCACTTTGGTGATTCATTGGATAAGAGTCTCACAGACTTCTCTGCGCAGGCTGGCTTCCAACTGTGATCTTCATCTCTGAGCCTCTTGAGCAGCAAGGGATGAACCACTGGCTCCCTGCTTAAAATACTAATTTTCTAAATTAAAATTGAACACAATGGTATAAAAAAATTCCTAGCAGAGTCTACACAAAAGAAACAAATATATAGGCAGACATATGGTTCATGCTTGTAATTTTAGCTGCCTAGGCAGTTGAGATCCAAGGCTCGCAGCTTAAAGCAAATCAGGGAAGGAAATCCATGAGACTCTTAACTCCCACAAAAAGCAGGAAGTAGAATTGTGGCCCAAGTGGTAGAGTGCTAACCTTAAGTAAAAAACAGCTAAGGGATAGCTACTGGCTCTGTGTTTAGCCCTAGTACCAGTACAAAAACAAAACCAACACCCAAACAAACAAACAAAAAAGACAAGTTCCAAATAAATTATTAATAAGCAATTGTTATTTAAACACAAATATATCATATTCTAAGAAGGTATAGTTTCTGTGTATACCTATTTTATCCAAACCACTTAGTTTTTGAGTTAGCATCACTAATGACTCTCTTCATGACACGCAGATGATAGATGAATGCATCTTGGCTCTATCAGTTCTACTGCTCCATCTTTTTTTTAATTTAATTTAATTTTTTTTGTGAACATACTGTACAGAGGGGTTACAATTACATGGGCAGGATAATGTGTACATTTCTTATCAAGCATTGCAGCCTCTTCTGTTTACCCTTCACATCCCTTCCCAGCCTCCCCCCTTCCCCCCAATCCCACTCCTTCTCCTTCCTCCCCCTTTTCCCCCCCTCCCCCGCACCAACATTGTAAAGCTCGTTTTGGACATGACAACTTGTACTTCTTATTGTTGCAACAGGTCCACCTGTATCCTTAAATGACTTGTTTTTCCCCATCTCCTCCACAAGTTATACTGACATCAAATATAGTGAAAGCAGGGGTTATACTGTGGGGGAGGGACATACAAAGCAACAAAGAGATAATCTTATAAATGCATTAGAAACACATGCATGAAAGAAAAAAACATTAAAATACATATCTAAGGGTTCAATTTCCTAACATCACATTATCTGACCTTTTCTGCTTGACTCAGACATATACTAGATATTGCAAATAAGGGAAACCATGGGACCTATGTTTCTTTGGGCCTGGCTTACTTCACTTAATATAATTTTTTCCAAGTTTTTCCATTTCCTAACAAATGGAGCAATGTCATTCTTTCTGATGGAGGCATAGAATTCCATTGTGTATATATACCACATTTTCTTGATCCATTCATCTACTGAGGGGCATCTGGGTTAGTTCCATATCTTAGCTATGGTAAATAATGCTGCAATAAACATAGTTGTGCTGGTAGCTTTTACTGCTCCATCTTGAATACTGAGGGAAGCTGGATGCTGGATGGATGACACTTGGCAGGACATCTGGTCCAGTGTTGGATCATCTGATTATCTATCACGGGTGAATCATGCTGTGATGCTCATTGATGTGTGGCATGTAATTGAAAATACTTCCCTATAAGTCATTCTTCTTAAGAAAACCACCATGAAGGGCCAGGAAGAGGGCCAAGCCCAGTTGGAGCTTGCATGATACAAGCAAAGCCCTTATCATGTTCCAAGTGAAACCTCAAGTTTGGGTAGTCAGCCAGTTGTGGTCAAAAAGACTGGACAAAAATCTCTGTTTCCCCACTTCCTCTCTCATTACCACTAGTGTGAGACTGCTCTCTTCTTTCCCTGTTTGCTCATAGTGCACTTCACATATCATGATCACCTCTGGGGACCCTCAAGAATTCACTGTTAGAAGATTTCTAAGACTGCTCCTTGCCAGTCTTGGTGCTGGCCCACAGGTTAAAGGCCTGGTTTATAACCTCTGCCTGGAGCCCTCTTCTGACGCCTCCTCTTTGGCTTACCTCAATACAACTCACAGCTCAGAGCATGATGCCATGGGAATGAAAATAGAAAGTAATATTTTTAAAATAACAGCATCCATTCACACCTCTGGGTATGGACAGGAAAGTCCATCAAGAATGGGAACCCATAAGATTCAGTCTAGTTCCACTTCTCTGATCATAATCACTACTGCCCCCAACTGGCCCTAGGAATGTGGAAATATAGATGATCTTCCTTCCTAACACCTATCAGCGTGTCCCCCAAAACCCTTCCAGTGGCTCATGCCTGTCATCCTTAGCTACTCAGGAGGCTGAGATGTGAGGATCCTAGTTTAAAGCCAGCTCAGGCAGGAAAGTCTGTGAGACTCCAATTAACCACCAAAAAGCTGGGAGTAGAGCTGTACTAGTCTTGAGTGTAAAAAGCTACAAGACAACACCCAGCTCCTGAGTTCAAGTCCTAGCACTGGCACAGAAACCAGAACCAAACAACCCAAAACAAAAAACAAAAATAAAACCCAAACAATAACTTATGAATGTAATCATACATACATACATATTTGGAAGGTCTCAGTGCTCACTACTTTGTATATATCTAGATGCTTAATTCCTGGGTCACTAGAGAAGACCTTGTATTTACTTTAGAAAACTCTCAAAAGTGTTCATTTCAGTTTCCATTCCCAGGACTTGTCACCATGCTGGAATGCAATGTCATCTCCCTGTGCCTTTCATTTACCCTTCGGTGGGGTGAGGGGGGGGTGAGGGCCAACACATGCTCCTATATTTCTTGGCCTTCCAACATCACAACTCCCTAGCTTACCCTACGAATACCAACAGGAATGTTCTTGCTCTCCCTTCACACTCAGTGGGAACCAGTCTGAGACTCCAGGGGGAAGTGTGGTGGTCTTGCCTAGGACATATTGGGTTGACACAGGGCTAGGGGATGTGAAGTGGATGGGTGGATGGATGGACAGATGGATGGATGGATGGACACCAGAGAGTGGTCTTCACCATCCTGAGAATGTGATTGTCCTCTGGGAAAGGAGTCTTCTCCTCCAGGCCAATAAAGTCCCCACTGAGAAGCACAGGCTTGCTGAAGGTGGGCATTCTTAATTGGCAAAAGGCCCCTCCTGATGGAGACAGGCAGGGTAGTAAATACAGTCACAATGTTCCATACATATAGGGCATAAATGGAACCAGGGAACTTGAGGAGGGACTGGGCTGGGAGAGCTGGGAGAGGAGGATGCAGGGGGTCTCACTGAGCAGGATGC